CCTGAAGTTGATCCATCACATCACGTATTCTCTAGAACAAAGAATCACATAACATTCTATCCAGGTGATAAGGTTTTTATGACAAAGAGTTTTGTACCGATAAAACTAAGTTAGTTGCTAAAATAGATAACATTTATGCAATGTTCAGGCTTGGGCTACACAGCTAATAAATATTAATATCCATCAACGGCATATTTCATTATGTAATCGATAGCTGACGTACTAAAAGCCCAGTGCACAATATTCTAACTTAAATTGCTTACACCTTTCCAACGAAACCGACTGTAAAATGCAACATAATTTCTGTAATAAATCCAATGCACTTCAGCCAAGTCGAAGATACGATGGCATATTACATCTGTAAAGAGGCAAACATTTAACCATGAAATATAACCATGAAATGATAATTAAATTACCTAAAATTCTAAAGTTGCCAGATAGATGTCGGCAATGGATGGCAATCGATGTCCGTCGGTGATTGGCACTAGATTGCGAAACAGAGACCGACGTTAAATAAAGGAATGAAGAATGAAAGAAGATGAAATCAAATTTTGGGTTTTCATTTTGCTGTACATTTGTAAATCAAAAATATGTTGTTGGGGTTTTGTTTTCATTGCCTTAGCAAAACATCAAATTGAATACTTACTTATTTTGTTATCAATAAGAAAAATGTGCATCAAATTAAGTTTTCAGTTTGCTCTCACTGATAGCAGAATTAATTTCAATGTGATGTCACAGAAAGATTTTACTGCTCTCAATTTTGATATTTTAATCGATAAAATGACCAAAACGACAGCAACCTGAGTATCATTATCAGCGACATCACAACACCAAATTTAGTTTTCAATTTGATCTCAGACTTTGCTCGGGTAAGCTGATTGTAACTACCTGATTTGACAATCATAGGATGCATTTAGGTTTATATTGTACTGTTAAGAATAATCACAGTGATAACTCACTTCCGCATATAGTAACGGCTTCCGTTTCAACTTACCCCGCATTTCAACTTATCACGGTCTCACACACATGATGTATCAACTATTCTGTAATATCTGGGGCACCGCGACTTTTCCGGCTGACTGGATGCAGGGTGTCTTAGTGAAGGTTCCTAAGAATCTTACTGTTTGCGATAACTGGCGAAGCATCATGTTACTGTGTATTGTTCTCAAAGTTCTGAATCGGATACAGTAGAAGATTTACGCGACTCTCCGGCGGCAGCAGGCAGGATTGCGTGCCAGAAGATATTGTGTTAACCATATTGTCGCGCTCCGCATCATCCTGACTACGAAAAAGCTTTCGAGCAACTCAATCACGAAAATCTGTGGGATGCCCTGACACGCAAAGGAGTCCCGTATATAATCGTCAACCTCATCAAAGCGTAGTACGAGGCTTTCACATGTAGAGTCCTGCATAACGGAGCCTTGTCTGACCCTATTCGGGTAGTGCCAGGTGTGAGGCAAGGATGTATACTATCACCGCTACTGTTCCTCATGGTAATCAAAGAGATCATGGTAGGTATAATTGACCGTGGAATGCTTTGGCAGCATATCGCTATGGAGCATTGATTTGACTGATGATGTTGCGCTATTAACACAACGGCGCTCTGATATGCAGAGTAAGCTTAACGACCTAGCCGAACGCTCCTCTGCGGCGGGTCTCACCATCAACGTCAACAATACAAAATCGTTGGATGTAAACACGGACAACTCTTCCAACTTTACGGTAGCGGGACAAGCAGTGGAGAAAGTCGAAAGTGTCCAATATCTTTGCAACCAGATATCGTGAGATGGTGGGACCAAGAACGACATAAGTGCACGAATCAAAAAGACTAGGGTTGCTTTTGCTAGTTTACGAAATGTATGGAAATCTACCAGATAAGTCAACGCACCAATTCAAACGTGAAATCTGTGTTGTTATGCGCCAGCGAGACATGGTGTGCATCAGCGGAGAACACCAAAATACTGCAGGTCTTACTCAACCGATGCCTGTGGTATATAATTCGTGCCTGGTGGCCTCACAACTGGATGTCGAATGCTGAGCTCCATTGGCGATGTCATCAGGAACCGATATCAACAGACATTGGAGAACGTAAGTGGAGGTAGGTCGGTCACATACTACAAAGAGGCGGAAACGAAATCTACAAGCAAGCGCCGGATTGGAACCCGGCAGAACATCGCAGCAGAGGCCGACCCAAGAGATCATAGTAGTGGAGCCTCAACAAGGAAATAAAAAAAATCGATGTTCCCGCATATTAACTTACGCTTTCATATTGATGTACCCCAATCAGCATCCTTGCGGTGATAGATGCAGCGTGAGAAAATATGACAATGAGAGAGAATGAGAGCAAAAGAGAAAGAGGGGGGGTAGCCCTAAAAGAAAATTAATTATATCTCTTTAGAGTTAAGGTGTAGAAACCTGGTGTCTTCCAAAAATGTTCATAAAATCAACTGCTCTACAACTTTATCAAAAGACATGGACCCGTTATCTCGTAACTGAAAAAAGTTAAAATTTGGATGTGTAATACAAGCATGCTTAACATGCACAGTTGTACACACCAACTGCTCATTTGTTGATAGCTTTTCACTCAGTTTTTGAAATTTGTTTCTCTTTAAAGTATTTGATAGATTAGGATAATAGTTTACTATCCAGTTTTCCACGTTCGGCAATGGTGGCCTGTTGGTATGAATAAATGTATCCTGCATCCTGGTTTTTGACACTAACTGGAGGTAAAGCTCTCTAGAGCTTTTTGACGTTTATTCGGCGCACACTACTGCACCATTTAAATTGAACGAGTGCAAGCAAGAGGGAAACAGATTAGTGGTGAAACAAACCATGCATTCATCCATGTGTGCTAGATAGAGAATGACGATTAAACGTTAAAAAGATCTACAGAGGTAAAGGGCGTAAGTTGTTCCATTTTTCGCTGTTCTTGAGAGATGGAAAGGAAGAATGAATGAATGACGTCAATACCATCCTAAAATGCCTTAAACTATCGTATGCGGGCGACCTAAAACTCTACTTCGTGATAAAAGAACCTAGTGATGCCATTTTATTGCAGCAACCATTGAAAGTCTTCGCTAAGTGGTGTCGTATTAATCACATGTCACTGAATGTCTCGAAATGCTCTGTAATTTCCTTTGGCCGCAAGTGTTCGCTTCTTCGCCATGACTACACTCTGACGGGCATAACTTTGAAACGTGAATCGACTATCAAGGATCTGGGAATACTGATCGACTCTAAGCTCTGCTTCAAGGATCATGTTCCATACGTAGTATCCAAAGCTTCCTCACAACTCGGGTTTATATTCCGCTTCGCCAAAAAATTCAAAGATGTATACTGCCCAAAAGCATTATACTGTTCGTTGGTGCGACCATTGGCGTATCTAGAAAAATTTATCTGGGGAGGCCTAGGGGGCGGCTGTAGCTTTTTTTTATAACCTAAACTACGGTTAAATAAAAACTCGCAAAGATGCTATTTAATCAAATTGCGTCAAGCCAACTAGTTGTGGGTTTTTTTATGTAACCAATAATATGACATTGGGGCTTACTATTATTTTAATGGTTAAACAAATTTGATTATATTTATTTCATAACAACGATTGGGACCTCTACGCTATTTTCATAACTTCTCCTAGTTCCTTGTTTCTACAATTTTTCTGAAGATCTATGAAGCTCCTGGAATTTCTACTAAGTTTCTTCAATTTCTACAATGTTTCCTGACCTTCTTAGAAGTCCTTGATGTTTTACGAAGCTCTCAGAAGATGAAGAAAATTCCCCCTGGGCACAGGCCAATTTGTAGAGCCTTATGGAATATTAAATATAGATATAATATAATTTCTCAAAACTGATTCTTCTAGTCCAGAGCATAAAAAAGTAGTCAAATTACAGGATAAAAAAAAATGTTTTTTTCCTTGATTTGTTTTTCTTCGATCTTGTTTTCCGTGCTGAGCACCAACACTTGGACCTTACCTATCGACCCATTAACTCATGCACCGGGGACCAACGGCTTTACTTCCCTTCCGAAGGAAGGCGTGATCAGAGATGTTATTCCTCAGAACATCCCGGCGGCGCCGACTGGGATTGAACCCAGACCCATTGGGGTGAGAAAGCAGTCACGCTTACCACTACACCACCGGCGAAATGTTTTATGAATCGCAATCGAAGATTTCTTGAGGAATTCACACTTCAAACACGTTTTTACCTTGAAATTTTGCTAAATAACCAAAAGCGCGTGCTTGGCTGTGCAACAATTTACCCTATTTCGAAATGCGTTTTCATGTTTATTTTACTTAAAAATAGTCTGTATTTTGTTAAGGGATGAAAGTTTGAAGCACAGTAGATATGATTGCTGTCTGCAACCTCAAGTAATCCGTGGGTATTCGGTCCCCTGTTCTACTAACTTGAATACAAAGTATGAACAGGAAAATACGAGATGTAATTTTTCATGTTAATTCTCATGTGAAATTAATCAAACATTTTCCATAAATGCATTAACTCAGAGTAACTCTGCAGCCCTAGACAACCAAAAACATACCAAATGGATGATTGGTAACCAATTTATTTTTCTTCTTGCATACAGTCTTGCCCCACCCTAGCTAGGACTGAAAAGGGCCTGTCCATATACCACGTGGACAGTAAATGTTCGTACATTTTTTTTATTATTTGGATTATTGCCCACGTTGGGATATAGGGTCTAGAACCACTCGAGAACTGTCCACGTGGAATGTGGACAGCCCGTAAAGTTGAATTTTATTACAGAAGTTTAGATGATGCCGGGGCTCCTTTTACCGAAAATTCATTTATTTCAAAAGAGCTGCTTAGTATTTACCTGGCTGCTGTATCAATTAGTGCTGCTGATGTCGTTATCATTAATGTTCTATTACATTAGAAAAATCCTGACATTCAAAAGTAATGATGGCGAAAACATCTCGTCCTGATTAAAGCTCTTGTCGTACATGCTTGCTTTTTTGCTCTCATTATTTTCTTTTTCTTCGTTTGCAGGGTGAAGGTGATGGAATGTTCTGCGAAAGACGACGTCAATATAACCGACATTTTTAAAACATTTCTCTCGTTGTCCCGTATTATTCCGGCCAACGGAAACAGTGACACAACCTCAGGGTTGAAGAGACGCTCGTCGGCTTATGTTAGTGCCAGTAGTAAAGGTGAGTAGAAGTTTATTTCCCGTACATTTTCTATGACTTTCCTGATTATGTTTGATTGACTTTGTTGCCAACAGCTAAATCTAGACTTGGAAGTCCGTCCATAGGTTGTGAAAAAACTAAAGAATCGTCATTTTTGGCAGCTGGTAGTAGTGAACCATCAACGAGCGATCCAAAGTCCAAACCCAGATCAAGGTATGACCTTTTCTTTAGGAAGTAATCATAACGATTAATTAAACATTTATATTCTCAGGTCTTTAATTCGAAGATCGTCCAGAAAAACCAAGCAACAAATACAAAATGCATCTGGCACAGACGACTGCAATATACAGTAATTTAAATGTTGGTGCTGCTGTAGCCAGATATGTGCTGAAGAACAAAGCGGATTAATACATAGTCGAATAGATACATTAGTTTGATTTAGTGCTTTCGGTTTATATTTGTTGGTATTTGATAATCAAAACTGTATTTTATGGAGATTATTGCAAAACATTCAATAATCGATGCGAAGTGAATTGTGATCCATACTAAATTATATTAATTAAAAAGACAAAGGATTTAAATCCTACAAGGGATTTGACAAAAAATCGTAGCTTACTTATAATAAATCATAACATCGCTGATGAAACATAACGTTGAAGGTAGCGCAGATTACAAAGTGGACCTATGGTGGTAGATGAACAAGAAATGGATACATTTTTTATGTATGTGTGATGCAAGTCTTCGAAAGTCGGTATCAAAATACATGAAGCAGTAAATTAATAGGTACAATAGTCAATGACAGAGGACATTATTCTTTGACGCGTTTGTAATAAAATCTCCAAAAGTGAGGCGATAATATGTGACAAAAGCACATTGGAAATAATTTATACGTTAGGTGGAGCATTGAAAATCGAAACAATATTCGTAGATAGGAGCATGTTGTTGAAATTAAAACTTGTTGATCAAAAGTAATTGTAAGCAGTAGATTGCAGCCATTGATTTGTGTAGCTAGATTATTGTCTCTATCGGGGAGAGTGAAGTTGCCATACCTAGCCTGCGTATATTCCATCGATTGTTTGCTGCCTAAATAAAATCGCATATCAGTACCATCAGATTTGATCTCGAGAAAATGGAAGACGAAAATATGAAGTACATTTCCCATGTAAGCATTTGAAAATGTAAATGAGTAAATTTATAAATGAACTTTCCGTGAAAAATCAATTGTATTAATCATGGCATGTTTTATTAAATCAGGAAAAAATGATGAGAACTTAAAAAGTAGAACTTTAACTTGACCTGTGAAGGATTAAATATCAGGATGGGACTGATATGCGGCTACTTTTTTAATGGGGCAAACTAACTTGATGCAGTTTTCATATTGCTCATGATCCTTTATTTAATCACACAATATGAAAGTAGGGCATAGTGGTGTTAGCTCAACATTTAGAAAAATCCATATGTTACTGATTGACAGTTGTTGGCAGTTTTTTCATGATATTTACCATCTTTTCGCCATAAATGTGAATCACACTTAGCTCATACATCGGGAGACTTTTAACTTTTTTAAAGAGTCTAAGAATTCTTCCCTGTAATTACTTTTACCAGTAGGTGTAGACAAGGTTGATTAATACACGATCATGAATTTATGAACTTAAATTGTCCTCAAAATAACGTACGCAAGCGAAACGTATCAGCATATAACATAAGTGGAGCGACTAATATCATTTCAGGGGAAACATGTCAGAAGTGTATAACTCAAAACGTAAACAATGACTTTCTCTTGCATGACCACACATCCACGGAATCTACACCAGCTCATAGAACAAACATTTCTCTGTCAGATGATTTAGTTAGGTTTAGTGGGTGTGTTGTCATTCGTAAGAAATCGACGATCTAAGTCATTGTTTACGGTTCGAGTTAGACCCTTCTGACATGTTTCCCCTGATTTTTGGTTTTGCAGTGTACACTGAAAAAAGTTTTCACATAGGAACGCACATAATATTTTTCCAATAACAAATTTTTTGATTTTTATCTGAATATCACATAACATAATAAATTCTCTGTGAATAATCATATATACTTCATTGAACACATAAGATGCATGTGATTTAGTAGTTCAATTTTCAATTATGGGGTTATATGAAAGTTATGTGAAATTCACATAGATATTTTCCACTGGCTATGTGATTTATTTTATGAGTGTAGCCACACCAGTACTGTGGCGCCAACAAGTCAATGGCAGCTCAACATAATTTATTTGTAAGCAAACGAACACCCCATGTCTACACCCTGAATTATTTTTGACTACCATTTTGCACTTAACTAGAACTAATAGAGATAGAAAATATGTATCTTTTGTAAAGTTGCTTCATATAATTTGTTCTACAACATTGTCAAACATTGTGCTGGTCTATTTCAAATAACTGAAAAGTTGATATTTTGAGCTCAATAATCATCTGAAATAAATATGCCAGTCATCTGGTTCCCAAGATAGAGCCGGCACATGTTATACGTGACTTGAGATCAGAAGCGACCTGAAACGTGTCAAACACATTATGCGACTCATCAAAACACATGAGAATTAAAAAATAAGACCAATGGTGGCCATATTAAGTGCCTAAGATTGCATTGACCCAACCCGGATATGTTCCGAATGCCCATGGGGTAATGATCATTTTCTGACTCAGGCCAAAACCCATGATGAGACACATCAAATCACATGCCCACACACTACAAAAAAACGTATGTAAAATTCGGTTATCTGAGCCCGACACATGCAAGGGGTCGTTTTAACATAAAAATCCAGTTCTCACTGGAGAAACTTGATCAAATTTTTCCTTCTACCTGGAAAAATCTCAGGGATCAGATGAAATTGGTTTAATCTTGCTGACTATAGTGCAAGTTTAGGATTAGTCTGTTTTGAGTATGAGTATGAGCATGATTAACTGCCCGCGGATGCTACTCTGTTATTGCCAGATCAGCTGTAATTACACAGAGAACCAATAGACGATGCTTGGGACTAGCATTCATCCTCAATATGTAAAATCTGGTGATCTCAAACTAGGCAATACCCGAATGCAGGTCAAGAAAGGAAAAGGGAAGGAATGTGTTGGTTTGATACCCGCTATGTTGAAAGCCGAGAAATAAATAAATAAATGGATAAAAGGGTTGGGTTTGCGGCACGATTCGTTTTGGTAAACGATAAGCTGAATTGATGTCCTAACGATCCTATAACACGAAGGAGCTTGGGATTGAACCCACGATCTTCTACTCAGCAAAAACGTTTGGCACTAGGCAAACGAGCTCCTTTTATTACAACACACCAATGATCGATTTGTTGTTACCCTAATGTATACACATTAACAAATAAATCGATTAACGAACATGGAATGTGGAGGTGCTTGAAATTAAACTCATGATGTTCTACTCAGTAAACAAAAATGGTCGCTCTAAGGCCACCAAGCCCCTCATATCACATCATATAAGCTACGATCGCGTTGTTGTTGCAACCATTCGAAACCGACCCCGACGCTGACATTGATGACGATGTAAAATTTCACAAAACACGCGATAATCAAGTGATGTTACTATAAGTATTATAATAGGACCTGGGATTTATTCAAACTAAAACTCGACAGTGGAGACCTTTACACAAGAATAAGCCTCTATAGGGATGTTAATTATGTCACGCAAATTTGGCCCATTTTCAACCCTCCCTCCCCCCTTTGTCACATTTTTTGTATGAACCTTAATTTTTTTGTATGGCTCGTCACAGTTTTCAAAACCCCCCCTCCACCCTTAATGTGTGACATAATTAATGTACGACCGATGCTATTTTAAACCTGGAGATAAAAAAAAACTACGAAAAAGCGCTTATGCTTCATTAAATTCTACTTTTATGCGACGTTTGTTGTTTCCATGTGGTCCTTACATAAGAAGGGACGAGAATCCATAAAACTTTAATATTTTTGATGATTTTACCAACGCACAAATATTGCACATCTTTTAAGCTATCTCGACCAAGCTCTATTGTGTTTTGAAACGACTGTTTTCTCCTTCATATTTCATATATTGGCCCTTATTACCAATGTCACTTCACGGTAAAGTGACAACTCATCACTCACGGTGAAGTGATTCCCAATTGATTTACACGGCAATCACTTCACCGTGAGTGACAACTGGTCACTTCACTTCGTTTTCACCGTGAAGTGACACCCGTAATAAGGGTCATGATCGCGCACGGGAGGACCCTACTGCGTTGTGATCAGTATATAAAATAAAACAACACCGATTGCTTTGCCGTCCTGCCATGGCGGAGGCATACGAGACACTAATTTATTGTTGCTTTGTTTTGTATATTGTAGTGGTACAGTGGGTAGGGTAGTTAGCACATACAGATGGCCTTGCACAAACAGGTCATTATACGTCAAACTACCGCATCAAAACTACCAAATCACTCAATCAAACACGACCCACCGTGACTAAACAGTGATAATTTTATCACTGTTTTCATGAAATAAACGTTCTCCCCAAACCCAGTCTTCATAATCGAATACCATTTGTGCTGCTTGAATCTGAAAAGTTATAAAACAGCGTTGCTTTTGTGCCTCAACTCATTTTCGCTTCGGACGGCGGGTGAGCAGGTAGCAACAGCAGTAGCAGCATCAGTAGGAAGGCAGCGGTTCTTGTCAAGCGCGCACCGTTCGAGTTTTCCATCTCGAACCTTGCGCGTCGTTCCCGTCGAGATCACTGGCTGGTAGCGCCGTTGCCTTGATGGTGCAAGCGCTCCGAAATTAATCAACCTCCTTGTCTGAGTGATAACGATCCCGCGTTCTACAAATCTCGATTACTTTTTCGAAAGGACATATCAGCTTTTAAACAACGCATACTAACACCACTATATCAGGTAGAGGAAAATTTCCCCTATCCGTTGGTAATGTTAGCATGTGTGCGTGAGATACCAATAACGCCAAATCGACGATCAAATGCGTTTACAAAAGCTGATACGTCCCTTCGAAAAAGTAATCAAGAAATACTTCCAATTGCCGAGTTGAATTTAACTCGTGTTTTTAAACCTGACATTTCGTAAGCAATTTTAAATGTTCGAAAATCCCAAAAAATTATCGGTTTTCAAACAGAGCTCAGCCACTATTGCCAAAATTTAACTTCTAGTCGGGAAGAAATAACCCAGCTCGGATAGCAGGGTTATGCGATAGCTCATCTGTCATTTTTAACCAAGCATTAAATTTAATCGCCAATTGGGTCACAGCCTTGGAAGTCAAATAAGGCATAAATGACGTAGATTTTTTTTTTGACCAATTAACCCCCCTTCCCCCTGGTAGCGTGTTTTGATATACTTAATACATGGCCAGTCGCAACTTCTGAAACCCCTCTCTCCCTTAACTACAACGTTATTTATGAAAGTTCCCTAAGCATTGCGCAACAGTGAAATCAGTGCCATGTCTCAGAAATGTTCCTAATTTAATATTCAGGAAGGGCTCAGGGTTATCAAAACTACAGATAAATCTGTATATCTACAGATTTGTCAGAGTTTTTAAAACTAAGATTCTGTATGCACAGATTACAGATTTTTAGGATTTAAACAGATTACAAAGATTTTTAAAATATGATCAAACATTAAAAAAAATGAAACTTGAGATGTTTAAAAACAAAACATTTTTTAGCTTAAGTGAAGTTTTATCATCACCAACTTTTTATATTTAAACATGGTTTTTTGCGGTTAGAAAAGGAGAATGAGAACTGTCATGGTATTCTTTTTTGTCAAGCCATAAGCTATTTATGAACATATATTTTAATTTATTTTTTGCCTTTATAATAAATATAGCTCAATCTCTTTTCAAATGACATTTTTTAAGGATTCAATTAATAAATTATCAACACAGATATCATCACAGATTTTCCGAAGAAAAAAAACTAAGATGAAAAGATTTGTTTGGACAAAAACACAGATTTCCTTTTGATAACCCTGGTAGCACAAACGAAGTGACAGACTAACTGGCGAAGAAATCCATTAAAATAATGTGGTTCGCTGTAATAGAATTTTCTTAGAAGCTTGTGCCATCAGCCACTAGATGGGCTAGTATTTTTGTTTTGATATGAACATAGTTGATTTTGTGTGCAAT